TGAACTCCTTCCTATTGCGTCCTTGTGCCATCTTGACTCCTTTTGCTGGACTACCTATTCGACTTTGCTAGCTCTAGGTGGCCTTATTTGTTTTTGTTAGCTCAATTTTCTTCTTCTTACTTATTGTAATAGGTAGAACTAATCCCTCCTAGGTTTTTCTTCAATTTTTGTATTTTTAGAGAGCTATGGTTATCTAAGGACTTATAATTTTCTTTTTAATTTAAGGCGTAGGCCCACATGTGAGTTTTATCAAAAAAAAAAAAAAGTATGAATACCTCCAAACTCTTTTTCACCACCACTGCCTCAGGTCTCACTCACTTTACAATTTTTATATTATAAGTCAATTTTGACTCTATATGCTCATAAGTTTTTTTTTTTTCATACTAAATTGCTCCTCTTTTGGAGAAATTATTCTGTACGGTCGCCAGACGTCATCCGGAGGTGAATCAGGACATGTCACGTCACTTTTTTTTGTTATGTACCGGTGTTGTGTATCGTTGTGTCGGGGACGTGGCTCATCGTGATTCGCCTCCGAACAGTCTGATGACCTCACATAATAATTTCCCTTTTGTGTATGTGGAGTGCTTATTGAAGTTCTTGCAAATAAATTTGGTTATAACTGGTTCAAATTTCAAGCTTGTTCGAAGAAATTTGAACATTACGTCGCATGCACAAGGTAAAAAATTCCTTCCCTAGTGATCCCATTTCACATTGTTGGTCCCTAGTTCCGGTCCATAGTGAGCTGCCAGTCGAGCTTTATATCTTCAATTTTCATTCAAAAATGCAGAAACTAGTCTTCAATTGAACTCCATTTTATAATATAAAAAAAATTCCTAATATATTCTTTCTCATGCTTTATTTTATATATTTTTAATTATATATTTATATTTTAAAAAAAATACACATAGCGGGTGAACAGTGTGGCGCCAATATTGGCGTTGCACTATTCACCCACAAGCAAATAGCGAAAAGTTTGACGTTCGACTGGAGCGACTGAACGACACCGTACACATGTTTGACGTTCGACTGAAGAAGGCCTAACAAACTCATGTTGCATTGTGTTACGTCACAGCATCACGATGTCAACTACAGCGACCTTTGTTGGTCACATGGTCAGTATACAAGAAACTTCCATCATGCGATGCCTCTAGGAGAGATTATTACGTGCGGAGACTGGACTCAGATAACCGTTCAGATTTTTCCGTTATGAACGGTAAAAGCACTGTGATGAACAGTGAATTACGCTTTTACTATTTACAGAGACAAACTGAACTCTCATAGCGTACATCACGGTCCTACGATGCCAACTATTATGACCTTCGTCTACATAAGTTTAATCCACATTTGAATCATTTTCGAATTAATGTTAGATTTAGAGTTCGATTGAAATAAACCATGAATACAGTAGTGATAATTTCGTTTGAAATAAACTTTCTGATATATTTTCTGAAAAAAAAATAATATTGCACATATTTATCCAATTTCCACTACTATGAGTCAAATAAAGCCAATTTTCTCCATTATAGTGCCACCTTCAATTTCTAGAATTACAACTAGTATAAGGCTTTTTAAATTAGGCTAAGATCTTATATTCTATCTTTTTGAGTTTTTATGGAAATAATTATTGTTAATTTAAAATTTTATATTATATTTTAATTGCATTCAATCAAAAATTAGAATTTAGAATATTCATCTCTTTTAGATATATTTTACAACTTGTGGCAAAAAGCATTCAAAAAGTAATTTTATAAAAAAAGAACCAAAAAAATTAAGCCCATGAAAATACATTAGGTGCTAATATTTTGACTATCATAATTAGAATAAAAAAAGGTTTTTGCTATAATGCCTTAGTCAAAATTTCAAAATAAAAAAAATGATGAATGATTATCATAATTATCATTTTACTAATGACAACAAACAAGCAAATTAAATTATTTGCATTTTCATAATAAATTTCAATGTGCTAATAATCATTATGATCACTTTATTAAAAAATTTAGTGTATTATTGAAGCTTTTCATATTATTAATGATTATGCAGTACAACTTAGGCTTTGTTTGGGATAACCTTTTTTAATGTTTTATAAAATAATTTTTTAGTGCAAAAATTTTATTGTTTTGTACTATAAAGTTGTTCTAAAAAGCAGAAAAAAGCTGTTCCAAACGAAGACAACTTTTTACTGATTTTTTTAAATATCTTTTTAGCATAAATTTTTATAATAGAAATTCATTTTAGATAGCAGTCTCAAATGAAGTCTTAACCTTATGATCCGATATTTTCGCTCTAATCACAAGATCCGAAATTTGAAGTTTAATATATATGAGTGTGTGTGTGTGTGAATTTAAGATTAAATTTATCTTCTATTATTTTTTAATCAATTACATGTCTAACACTCAAAGTTTAATTATTTATATAACTAACATTCTCTTATTTTTATTTTTAAATTGTCAAATTTCTAACAACTTAATTATGGCTTGTGAAAAGACATATTTGATAGTTCAACAAAATGATATGAATATTAGTTTTATAAATAAAAAAAACTGAATATATAGAATAAATTCATGATTGATAATATACTTAAAACAACGATTATGTCAGATAGTCTGAATTTTTTTGCATCCTAGCCAAAAATCTTCTGAATGTATGACAAGGTGTCCAACTTCTAGTCGAGCAAAACAAATAATGAGTCATGCAAGAGAAATTTCATATGATTTACAAACAAAAAGCTCAGAATTTTGATGAGGATTACATAAAGACTAGCTACAAATTATATAAATGACTTAAAAGTATTTAGATATTTTAGCTATTTAGGGTTATAGGCATTTGCAAGAGGTTGTACCCTAGTGTATGTTTTTTTGTTGATGATATTCTTCTTGTTGAAAAGTCTAGAGAGGAAGTTGAAGGTAAATTTAAATTATGGAGGTCAACCTTAGAGTCTAAAGACTTTCGTTTGAGTGAATCTAAAACTGAATATATGAAGGGTAATTTTAGTAATGATAGATCTAGTGGGGGGATTGTGACTTTGGGCGATCAAGTCATTAATAAGAGTACACGTTTTAGATATCTTGGGTATATTGTTCAGGGTGATGGTGAAATGGATGGGGATATTATTAGTAGAATTCATGTTGGATGGTTGAAGTGGAGAAATGCATCGGCCTTGGAGTGTGATAGAAAAAGTCCCTCTCAAACTTGAGGAAAAATTATATAAGATGGCAGTGAGACATGCATTACTTTATGATACATAATGTTGGCCATTTAAAAAGAAGCATAATATTAAGTTCAGTATTGCAGAGACGAGGATGCTCAGGTTGATGAGTGGTCTTACTCTTAGAGACAGGATACGAAATGAGCATATACCTGAAAATGTTGGAGTAGCTCCAATGGAAGATAAGATTAGAGAAAGTCGCCTCAAATGATTTAGAGTTTAGGGTATATAGTAGGCATTTAGATTTTTGGGATTATATCAATAATTTTTAACCATTTGATGAAAATGAACCACAAATTATTTAACGGTTTGACGGTCTATGACCGGTTCTTTCCAATTCTTTTTAGTTCTATCCAGTTCTACCATGTGGTGATTTTGGGTGTGGATCACATCAATGATTCGAGCAATTCGACCAAATGATTCAATTTGGTCTTTAAAATATTGCTCAGAATTACACAAAATGGTATACTATATACACAATATTCTGTCAAAAGTGAACTACATGGATAAATTTTGATGAAGGAAATACAAGAATATACATGAAAGAAAAGAATGCAAGAGAGAAAAAAATGATTGCTGCTCAAGGAAAAATATGACAAACCTGTCCATCAATGTTCCTGGCATGTCCAAGACTTGCAGATTCTCCACAGCCAAATGAGTAAACATCTCCTTCCTCAGAGAGCACAAATGTCGTGTAATCACCAGTAGCAACATAGACAGCCTTGACTTTGCTCAAGGCCTCCACTACTTTGGGAACTGATTCACAGTCCTCATTTCCATGTCCTAAGCATCCATAGCGTCCCCATCCCCAGGTACATACCCTACCATCCCTTCCTACAACCGCAGCATGCCAAGCTCCCGCAGCAACCACCATTGGCTGAAGATTTAAAGCTTGGAACTGCTCAATCAATCTTGGATACCTCTCATCAGTTCTTGAACCATGCCCCAGCTTCCCTCCTAATCCACAACCAACAGAGTATACTGACCTGGAGAACAATCAAAATAATATGAAAATCAGAAAATAAAAGACAATGTAAAAGTAAAAAAGAGCCCTTATGCATAATAGGGTGCTTCTTAGGCTTCGTTTGGGGCGACTTTCTTACTGTTTCTTAAAGCAACTTTCTAGCATAAAAATTAAAATGTTTGTATCAAAAAACTGCTTTAAGCAGTAAGTAAGCCGTCTCAAACGAAGCCTTAGTCACCGAAGAAGTTTACCAGTAATTCTGTGCATGGTTGATAAACATTAAACCTTATGCATGTAGCCTTCAAAGCATTATCATATGAAAGATACATTTATTTTGGGTAACCATATGAAGCAAGATATTTCCCAAATTAAAATGGAAATTATTCAGGCATGCATGTTAAATACAAGGCCCTCCACCTTACATCATACTTCAAGTTATGAGACTAATGAATTTACCAAGTTTCACTCACAACCAAGCAAAACTGGGTTTAAAATTGTGAGGTTACTTCCATTTTCAAAGTTAGTGATCTTATTTTAGTTTATCTTTAAGCTAACAATTCTGGAGGCCCCAAACATACAAGAAATTATTATCACATAATTCATTTTACAGAGAAGAAATTATGCATATGGAAAACAACAGGAGTGGTAAAAGAAGCTTACATGCCACTTGGTTCGCATGCCAGTGCAAGAAGATAGCAATAACCTGCAGCAATCTGCACAACCAGAGTGTTTTCAAGTGCTCCCCTAAGAAGATGTGGTTCAACATCGTTAGGCTCTGTCTGATGGCCAAGCTTGGCATCATTACCCCAAGAGAAGGTATATACTTTACCCTCTCTAGAGAGAACAGCTGTGAAGAAGTTTCCTATGGCAGCTTGAACTACATAGATCCCTTTTAAGGACTCTACAAGCTGAGGTTTTGAGATAACCTTAGATCCCTGAGCTCCAAACTCTGCTTCTCCAAAAGAATCCTTTCCTAATGCATAGACCCTTCCGGCATCACTGATCAGCATAGTACATCCAGATCCTGCAGCTGCTTGGATAATTCGAATGCCTTCCAGTGATCTGTGAATTGTTTATTGATCTACATTATGCTATTCAGCATGTAAACAATGTAAAAGCAATTGAGTTTTGAACACACTTGATAATGCGCGGCCTCCACTCTTCTTCTTGATTTCCATGGCCAAGCTGGCCTGAGCTATTCGCTCCAAAGGTGTAAACGGCCCCGCTTGCTGTCACGGCAATGCTGTGACCAGGACCAGCAATTGCCTGAGACTTCTCTCTTCGACAACAGGTTTCGCCTGCTAGCAAATAGCGAAGGACTAACTTCCAAGAACCACCACATCTTTGTTTAAACATTTCTCTGTCCTCTATTGTCATGGGTTTAAATACAGCTCTTTTCTGGCACATATCAAGGGCTGCGAGCTCGGATATGGACAGTTCAAAGTCTGGAAGAAAATTGGCAGGCTGTCGAAAGAACTTACATGTTGCCTGCCACAACCAACATTAAAAATAAGAGGTACTACCAATTCTAACATAAGATATTCAAAAACTTGTCACTTGCCTCTAGGTGTGCAAGATCTTCGGGATCCATGTCACATGAGGTAAGAACATGAAGGACGATAGACGGCTTTGTTGCCAAAGGAAACTCTCCCGGGTGGACATTCCCAAAGCCAAGGCGCTGGCAGCGCTGGAGGCTTTGCTGCAGTGGAGTGATCAGTGACAGAGGCTGGTCTGTGATGTTGTGAAATGGGATTGAAGGAGAAGCCCCGCTCGCTTCGGCATCCATTAGATGCTGCCTGGATTAAACTGTAGAGGCCTAGTTTGAACAGAAAAGGGAGTATGAATTTAGTTCATTTTTAGATTTCAGAACCATTGTTAGGGAAGCATTACTGAGACTTACTATAATTCACGATTGAATGATTTCAGGATAATTCTCCACAATGCTTAGATAAGTTGCACTTTGTTTTGGGTTTTGGGCCTATAGGAACAAAAGAAACACGATCATTAAGGTTTTAACTTGGACGAGGGAGAAGGCATTGAAGAATGGCTATCATAATATGAAGATGGTTATAAGAATGATAGGTAACCAAATCTATCATATCGCCACTCTTCTTTTGAAATGGAAAAAGGAAAGAAAAATTCAAATTGGTGAAAAGAGGAAGATCTCTAGCAGATATATTTAGCCAAGTTTCAGATATAAAATGATTGAAACAAAGCTAGAAAATGGCATTTACAAAGAATTCAAGCACAATTCATGTTGGAGAAATAGGTGAAACCTATTCAAACATTGAGAGCAGAAAAAAACAGAAATAAACAAAATCAACAGGCTGTAACTTCTAAACAATTTTATGTAGTTTAACCCAATTGATGATTATGTCCGGTCTGCTACAAAATCTGGTATTGAAAATACAATAAGTTTTTCAAAATACATGCCCTTAATAAAACAACCCAAATTTTACATACCTTTAGGGGGTTCTGCCTCTTTCCAACCCTCACAATGACCTTACCTTACTAAATTTGCATTGCAAGTTCTTCTTAATAGCACAAAAATTTAGGTTCCACAACTTAACATTTCACTCTTCCAATACAATCAAAACTAGCAAATCACACAATGTTCATAAAAAAGAATTTTTTTTTTCTAAACAATACTTTGAAATGGCAACCTCAGAATCAAATAAATATGAACTAAACCAGAAGAAGTAAGCGTGTAAAATACTATCACAGAGGGAAAGCATATTCCACAACCAAAAGGAGGCTCCAAAAGAAAAGAATTCCATTAAAGACTCCTTCCCTTGAATCAACCGCTACTTTTCCCCCATCCATCTCTTAGCCCAAAGGCGAATTTTACACAAAAAAAAAAAAAAAATCTGACATAACCAAACACAAGAACCAGACAACAAAGAGAGAAGGCCTCAGACCAAATCCTCCCTTAAAAAATGAACAGATGATCAATCCGTTTGAGGACTCGCGTTGCGGCGATAAGAGAAAACTAAACGGCACTTTCCTCAAAAGCGCATTTTTATGCCTAAACCCTATCGACTACCATAGGGAAATCGATATATACCTAATTAATTGATAAAAACCTACTAATCAACAAGAGAAAACAAGCTCAAGCTAAAGCAGTGAACAGAGATCATGTAGTAGAGGAGCTCGCATATGGATTGGGCTTGATCGAATCAAATCAGATCGTGAGAAGAGTAATACGCGAAGAAATCGACGATTTTCCCACAGATTCCTGCAGCATCTGCGAACTTTCCACCCGCTGATGACCTCCTTTCTTTTCTTAGCCCCTAGTCCTCTTATGAGAAGAAAAAAAATTAAAAATCATTATTTTCGGAGATCGATTGGGAGATTGATCGAAGAAGAAAGGATAAAGCGATGAAGAGATCGAATCTAGAGCGGTGGGAGTATGGTGTGGACTTCGGATATATGGTGGCGTTCTTCTCTCTCTGATCCTCTGGTTTGGGAGGGGGAGAATAGAATGGGGAGAGAGAGAGAGAGAGAGAGATGAGTTGTTCAATAGGAGGGGCTAGAGTATAATTCCATTAAGCAACATTTTATTCATTATTATTATTATTATTATTATTTTATTTTAAGATTAATTTAAGTAGTAAAAAAATAGGTTAAGAATATGACAATCTTTTTAGGAAAGGTAAGAGTTAAAGCTCAAGCTATCTAAGGGTGTCAAAATGGATTAAAAGATCTGATACGTCCTCGAAAATTGCTTTGATGGGGCACGAATCTCGAGGCATATTCAAGTTGGAAACTTTCAAAATCAAAGTTGGGATCATCTGAATTCCAATTTCAGCAAACTTATAGTCAAATTGAACATTTCAAAGAGACGAACCAAACATCACCAAAATTTGTCCAACCCAAGCCCAAATGGGTCCAAATCAGGGGCCCGGACCACATTTGGAAGGGTTAATATGAGCCATCCGATGCGCACTCCGAACCAACCCCGATGTTGCACTCCGAACCAACCCCGGATCTTCTCTAAATTTAATGGTTATGCAACTCATGAAAATCTATGAATAGACCCCGATGTTGACATCCTCTAGTACCTTTGAGGTTTAGAGAATTTTCATAATTGGTGGAAAGAGTAAGACTAGTGGAGAATGATTTAGTAATTTATAAGTTTAGATAAGACATGAGCAGAAAAAGAACAAGTGAAGAAATGATTTGTTTAGAAGTATAGTCTCTTGATTTTGTTAATTTCTGTTCTTTTTTGCTCTCAATGTTTGAATATGTTTCACTTATATCTCCAGCATGATTTGTGTTTGAATTCTTTGCAAATGACATTTTCGAGATTCGTTTCAATCATTTTATATCTAAAACTTGGCTAAATATATCTGCGAGAGATCTTCCTCCTTTCACCAATTTGATTTTTTCCCCTTTTTTTTCCATTTCAAAAGAAGAGTGGCGATTTTCTGGATTTGGTTACCTATCATTCCAAGTTAAAACCTTAATGATCATATTTCTTTTGTTCCTATAGGCCCAAAACCCGTAACAAAGTGCAACTTATCTGAGCATTGTGGAGAATTATCCTGAAATCACTTAGTGGCAAATTATAGTAAGTCTCAGTAATGCAGTGCAATAGTAGTTAATTACATGCAATGGTTCTGAAATCTAAAAATGAACTAAATTAATACTCCCTTTTCTATTCAAACTTGGGCTCTGCAGTTTAATCCATGCAGCACCTAATGGATGTCGAAGGCAGTGGGGCTTCTCCTTCAATCCCATTTCACAACATCACAGACCAGCCTCTGTCACTGATCACTCCACTGCAACAAAGCCTCCAGCGCTGCCAGCGCCTTTGCTTTGGGAATGTCCACTCGGGAGAGTTTCCTCTGGCAACAAAGTCATCTATTGTCCTTCATATTCTTATCGCATGTGACATGGATCTCGAAGATCTTGCACACCTAGAGGCCAGTGACAAGTTTTTGAATTTCTTATGTTAGAATTGGAAGTACCTCTTATTTGTAATGTTGGTTGTTGCAGGCAACATGTAAGTTCTTTCGACAGCCTGCCAATTTTCTTCCAGACTTTGAACTGTCCATATACGAGCTCGCAGCCCTTGATATGTGGCAAAAAAGAGCTGTATTTAAACTAATGACAATAGATGACAAGAAAATGTTTAAACAAAGATGTGGTGGTTCTTGGAAGTTAGTCCTTCGCTATTTGCTAGCAGGCGAAAAGTCTCTGGCAATTGCTGGTCCTGGTCACAGCATTGCCGTGACGGCAAGTGGGGCGCTGTTTAAACTCTTGCCAGACAGTTTTTCTCCCGCTGTGAGTGAACTGAAACCTGCGTAAGAGTATCAGGTATTGGTTGTCGCTGCTAAATTTTTTTATTTTTGCTAGTCCGATTTCTCCTAACGTTATAGGAGAAATTTTGGAACCGACTAAAGAGAGGTGTTGCCTTCTCCCTAGCCCCTTAGGGGTATTTATAGTTTTTTAAAATGAGGTTTGAGGGCCAAATACCTAAATTTTTAATTAATTTTTAGAATTTTTTAATGCCCAAAAATTAAATAATTTTCTATTATTGAAAAAATGAAATCGGAAATAAATAAAGAACATTTCATTTAAAAATAAAATAAATGTGCAGTAAATTAATTGTTTCCATTCAAGAAAAGATCCTGGATTTTTTTAAGGATTTTTCAAAATTTTTCGGATTTTATTTGAGCTAAAAATAGTATTATACTATTAAAGAATTTAATTAATTTCATTAAAAAAAATTTTCCGACTCTTTTGGGCGGATAGCGTAGCTCCCTTCCTTAAGTTGCTTTTAACAGATAAAGTAATATTTAACTATAGGTTAATTGTTACAGATATCTTAATTCATTAAATTAATTATTTAGTTAGTTTACAAAAGTAATTATTTATATGAATTTTTTCCGAGAAGTTTGATTTTAACATTTTTACAGTCCTTGGAACCCTTTTTCGATGTTCCGGAATCGATTTTGATAATTTTGAAGCTCAAAAGAGCCTCTATGATATGTTTTGAGCTATTTAAATTTTTTTGTTTTGGAGTAAACATTGTAAACATTTTTTACTTCGATTAACGTTTTGACTTTGCAGAATGCTGAAATCATAGATATATTTTTGGACTATACGATTCAACGTCTAAAAAGGCAACTGATACGTCCTAAAAAATTGCTTTAATCGGGCACAAATCTCGATGCATATTCAAGTTGGAAACTTTCAAAACTAAATTTGGGATTATTTGAATTCCAATTTTAGTAAACTTATAGTCAAATTTAACATCTCAAAGAGAAGAACCAAACAACACAAAATTGGTCCAATACAAGCCCAAATGGGTCCGAATCAGGGGCCGGGACCACATTTGGAAGGGTTAAAGTATTGTTTGGATAATAAAATGAATTCCAAATATGGCATGCTTATAGTCAAACTAAGCGGCTCGGTGGGACGAATCCAACGAGCCCGAGATCTCTAAATTCTGACATCATTAAAGCACTTAAACAGTTGAAAAACTCTCTACAATAGGGGGAATCAATATGAGCCATCATATGGAGCACTCCTAACCAACTCTGATCTTCTCTAAATTTACGGGGTGTGCCACTCATGAAAATCTACAAATAGACCCCTACTCTCTACTTGATGGGGACCGGCCTTTGGTTGGAGATTGGGGAGAGCTCTGAAGCTTCAAGAGCTCTAGCACCACCGCCCAGCCGCCAACCGCCACCGAACTTCAGCCCGACCTTTGTCGGACCACCGCCCGGCCGCCGACCGCCACCGGACTTCAGCCCAACCTTCATCAGACTACCTCCCGACCGCCGACCGCCGCCGGACTTCAGGCCGACCTTCTTTGGACCACCGTCTGGCCGCCGACCACCGTTGAACTACCGCCTGGCCGCCAACCGCCACCGGACTTCAGCCCGACCTTTGTCGGACTACCGCCCGACAGCCGTCCATCATCCACCGCTGGACCTTCGTCGGATCATTCATTGTCAGCTGAACTTCTTCACAAAAGCTGTCGAACTCCTGCCCGACCGTCGACAGACCTTTGACAAGCTCCCCAAATTACAGTAATATGACCAGCTCTAAATCGAGGGACGGGTCAACCCTTGTAATTCACTCAAGTTTAGTGGAATCTTTTCACCTGGGCGAGGCCTCGTGATTTTTCCCTCTTCGGATTTTCCACGTAAAAAAGATCGGGTGTTTTACTTCTTTCTTTTTATTGCGTGCTGGATCTTCGTACAATGCTAAGACGCTAAACTTTATTTTTCTCTACCGTAGTGAATATTCCTGGACGCAACAAGATCGACTCAAATCAAAATGGTTAATCAAAGTTAATCCAAATTCGATATATTGGTAACTCTGATGGTCTGAACCTGACATAATAACCTGTTTTGATTAACAAAAAATTATAACTTGTCAACTATATAGTTTATATTAATTGATCAAAAGTAAGAAGAACATATCATCAATCAAAAGAATTTAAGGAAAAAAAAATACACGTCAAAAAATTTAAAGGAAAAAAATGTAAAAGAATATAATGCAAATGCGAGCTATTACAATCTACCAACCGTAAAAATGTGACGTCCTTTACATTTCTCACTACTTCCTTGATATATAGTTTATATTATTGCACTTATCTTGATCAGGCACGAATCTTGAAGCAAAATCAAGTTGGAGGCTTTAAGAATAAAAATTGAGACCATCTGAACTTTGATTTCTGTAAACTTACAGTCAAACTGAGCGTCTTAGAAAAACGAACCCAACGACACCAAAATTGACCAAATCTGAGCCCAAATGAGTCCAAATCAAAGACTAACACTTTTGAAAGAGATCAATGCACAATTTGGGTTACCAATCTTGACATGCTTATAGTAGAATCGAGCAGCTCGATGAGACGAATCCAACGAGCTCAAGATCATCAAATTTTGATATCATTAAGATAGTCAAAGGTCCATTAAACAGTGCATGATTGCAGGAATCAAGTTCGGCCGTCCATCCGAACCACTCCCAATTTATGCTTGATCTTTCACTTATTTACAAGTCATGCAAATCAGGAATTTTATAAATAGAACCCCGTTTCCTCTTGAAAGAGGAGGGGGGAAGAGCCAAGAGAGAAGAAAGAATAGAAAGAAGAAAGCTATAGCCACTTAGCTCCTCCTCGGCCACGTCAGAGTTCAGCCGCACCATCGTCAGGTTCTGTCGAACCACCACCAAACCATCCAAGGATGTCGAAGTGCCACCCAAAGCCTAAGTGCCCCCTGATGCTAAATTGTCATTGTCGAACCACCGCTTGACACCGGAGTGTTGACAGACCACCACCTGAGGCCGAACTTTTACCGGACCACCACCTAACCCCCGGAGTTCTTCCGGAGTACCTAATTAATTTATTTTAATTATTTAAATTAATATAATAATAAGTATTAAAACTTTAGTTCAAGAGAATATCTGACCAATATAATGATCATGACGATTATGTTTCCTTGCTCCAACATCTAATATCGGACTGATGGAGGTACAAACCAACTAAAAGTGAAGTCGACTAAGACCTCAAC